TACTTCCTCATAAACTTTTCTTATATAAGGTTACTTTGTATTCAACAATTTCAATTTCCCTCAAAGCGCTAGTCGTATTTTTGTAATAACCACATATGAGGGACAGACAGGAAACTAATTTCCCACGGGACTACCGTGACTTCTTTCAGACTCGCACTATGTAATTACGACGAAACAAAATTCCATTGAAGCTTTCGATGGACAAACATACAAACATGTGGCTTACGTGGCAGAGTTACGCTGCAGACATATTATAGTAGTAGCACGAATGGATCGGCTTGACCGGGGAAGGACCACGCTCTCACAAAACACCAGCGTAAAAGCTTAATTATGCTGTATGGTGAACATCAACAGTACGCGACGTTTGGTACAGCGATCAGTCCAGCAGTAGACTTTTACGTGCTGATGATGATAAGGAATTTTTCCCTACTCAATGTAAATATTAAAAGTTTCGTTTAGTAGGTGGTAGGGTTACTTATGTGCCTAGGCATCTACCTGGATTGTGTACTATATACTGCAAAAAAGTTTCATTTTGTAGGCAATAGGGCAACCTCTCTGCCCAGGAATCTACCTGGGTTGAGCACTACATGTTGTTTCCGCTGACAAGCAGCAGTGCAGTCAAGCTGTGAAGCATCTCATATGAATATATTCTTATTTCTTACTTCCGTACCTTCCGCCCTAAAGTATGAAAAAATGTGGGAGTCGAAGGTTATAACTTTTTGAGACGTATTTTATGACTTGTGTTGAAGAAGTGATGATATTTTTAAAGTAATATTTTGTGCCTTATTTTCTAATTCCTAACATCTAAATATAAATTCCGACTCTCTAAAATAAAACCTAAGAACATTCAGAAAAAATATATGATTCAGTTATCTAGTAACATCAATTGTGAAAGTTCGGCTCCAACACAGGCTCTTAGGACTTTGTCCAAAGGCGTGCAATCCAGGAGCCGTGAAATTGGATTGACGGAGTGTTACTCACTATTATACATATACACTCCAAGTATGGAATCAAGGCAATAAACCTCATATATATTAAGTTTTGTAACTGGAACTTTGATGTTGATTTTAAGTAATGAACCCTAATAAACTGCTTTGAAACTCTACTCCTCATATACATACCTGAGTAAATTTGAATTGATTCAGTTACTTCACGCTAACTTATAGCGGCATGATTATGTAATATATTTCATTTTTTAATTATTTTGACTTGACTTCTATCCCACCTGATAATAAGAGAATATCACACTGAGCCCAATAGAAGTCATTTATTTCAATACTACAAACAGATCTGCATTTTATTCGCAAAAGAGGATGGATGTAGACGTCTATGGGCCACAGCGACCTTATAACATCAGGTGGACTGTGTGCTCACTTGTCACCCTTATCCTATACAAACAAAGATATAGATGTCTATGGGTCACAGCAACCACTTACCATCAGGTGGACTGTGTGTTTGTCACCTTTATCCTATAAAAAAGACAATTCATTTTATTTATATGTATAGGTATTATATGCTTACATTGGGCGATGATCCAATTTATATTACAAAATAAACTATGTTTTAAGAAAGAAAATTTCTTACAGCGGTATGTATAGATAAAACGGACTTAGGGGACTTTATAAATGTAGAGAATAAAAAAAAGTAGAAGCTGCTTTTCCGTGATCAGTGCGATACCGCACTGACTGAACTATAAACCTAAGACGCAGCTGTACGTATCCCGACTGCATTATACTATGAAGGCTGAGGAAATCGTTGAATTTTGGTCGAATGGTGTTGTGCACAGACGTTTTCGCGGTAAGCTACGTGATACCACGCAGCCACACACGACGCAGGCAATATGTATAGATTACTGTTAGTGTATTATTTAAGTATATAAATGTATTTAGATTGTAAGTTATGTATGTGTTAGTATACAAGTTATATTTGTATCCGTATATATATATGGCCTTGTATCGCCTGACGTAATAAATAAATTAAATATATTTAATGCTTAAAAATTATTTGCGTGCCTGGAAATTGAGATTGCATGAACATTTTTAGTACTTCCGTTTCCTTGTTTGCACACGCATCAGCTAAATTTCTGATGAGAGCTTGAGCATTTAATTTTGTTTTACTGACGGAAAATATTTAATAATATGATGTTATACGAATTTTAAGTTTTCAAATTCACTTATATGAATTTAGTTTAGCGAAAACGAACCCAGCTGATTCGATGTAAATATAACTTCGCAAACGTATCGTTTATAAAATATACCACTGGCCCTCCAGGCGAAATTTTTTAACCTTAAAAAAAAAACATGCGACTGGTTCTCGTCCAGGAGTCGTTCTGGGTAGGTACCACTTTACTTATTTGTGCCTTCAAGTAGCAGTGCGTGCACTGCTGTGTTCTAGTCTAAAAGTATACAGAGCTAGTATTCTTACTAGCTGTGAGTACTTAGATTTTAGTCCATATAAATGAATAAAATGGAATCTGTAGACATCATGTTTTGAAGTTAGTTGCAGATGTCCATGAACAACAGTAGCCCCTTATCATCGCATATTCTGTAAGTTTGTTTGTCACTTCAGCCCTATAAAACAACCTTAGAGACTAAGATAGAATGGCTCATTACAATAAAAAAGGGTTTCCGATACTCTACACTCTTTATAGGAAACAGTAAAATTCCACGAGAGCGTGATCTTCCTTTCCTTGAGTCGAAACATTCATGCTGCAGCTACAATTTTGAGGAACTAATCAATTATAGTACCTGATAATCTTTAAACTTCATGCATACGGAATAATGGGTACAGTAAGTTGCTAATAAAGCAAATAATCTTAAATATTATGCCTCTCATATTGAATAGCATAGTATACGCACTATTGATAATTACATACATTATTACATTAGATACGCACAATTGAAAAACATATCAAGTAATAACATTTTGAAAGAACGTCCTTGATATATTTAACGTTCTTATGTTATCTGATAGTGATTGTTTTCACCATAGATAAAATACACATTTATGTTTACAGCACGTCACTTGGTAAACGTTTACCTAATTTATTATCTTTCATTCGTTATCAGTCTCGACATGTAGGTACAGTGCAAATGAAAATTGAAGTATGTGATTTCGTTCCTTCTACAATTCTTGTATTAGAATAAGCATTTTATAGACCAGGAATGGAAAAGAAATAAAATTACCACATTTTTCTTCCGTTCAATAGATCAGTTGATAAAATTCAATGATAATTTTTTAGGAAACAATAATGTTAGATAAATTAAAGTTACAACCTATACTGGATGACATTTTTACCGTCATCATATCGTCACCTGTTACAAAAAATAGTGTGTAACAGGTGAATGGAGTAGAAGCCCATTTACTTCCAGCACTATGGATGTACAGCCCATTACGAACGATCGGTGCACGCATACACAGCCAATTCGGTGATAGATGGATAAGTCGCGGTTGCCCTGTAAACTGACGGCAAGATCACCAGACCTAACACCTCTAGACTTTTATATGTGGACCGAACTAAAACGATTAGTGTACACAGAAGAAGCACAACGTGTTAGTGAAAATTTAACAAACAATTTACCAAGACGTGCTAGTTTGTAAGAAACGGTAGACATTTTGAACAATTATTGCGTTATTTTATTATAAGTTATTTTAATTTAATTGTTTCCTCGGTTTTAGAGCCTTGTGGAATATTTGGAGACGATGGCAGGAGACCCGACGGTATGACATTGGTCCCTTGGGAGAGAGGTAGAGTCCTAGTGTGGGATGCTATTTGCGTAGAAACTCTGGCGGCCTCTCATCTCAGGGATACCTCGTTTAGAGCCGGGTCGGCATCAGAGGCAGCTGAACTGAGTAAGTGGCGCAAATATGAGTCTCTGAGAGATGACTACATATTTGTGCCATTTGCTGTAGAGACTATCGGTCCGTGGAGTCCACGTGCGGTGAAGTTCCTAAAGGAACTCCATCCGCGGCTGGTCGTTGCTGCTGGTGATAAGAGGACTGGTTCTTTCCTCGCTCAAAGGCTACTTATAGCCATTCAGCGGGGAAACGCAGCCAGCGTTCTTGGCACGATACCGCGGAGAGTAGGACTATATGATAATTCTGTTTCTAGATTTAGTTTTTTTTTTATTATCATAGTTTTTAATATTGTAGACAAAAATAGATATTATGTAAATTAGAAAATAATAAAGAAAAAAAAGAAAATTAAGTTCAACAAGTTGTATTACCATTGGCATTATAGCCTTTCAAAAGGCCACAGCTAAGCATATACCTCCCTATAGATTGCCTCAAAATGGGCAGTTTGCATTAGTCGCCACACTTGGCAAACGTGTAGGCAATTGCAGTTTTTTTTCCAGCTGTTATCAAAAAGATACCGGTACCGATCACCTCAATCAGTTTCCCTCGGTCACAAAACCAACGGAGTATTATGCGCTAATGTACATTTTTACTGTTATTTGTAATGTTAATAAGTAATAGTTATTTAATAAGTATTGTTTATAATTAAAATATATTTATAATGAAATTTTAATTTTAGTAAGCATTTTTTATAACAAAATGTTAACATCTGCTGGACTTGGGTGTCTTCAATTGCATTAGTCGCCACACTTGGCAAACGTGTAGGCAATTGCAGTTTTTTTCCAGCTGTTATCAGAAAGATGCTGGTATCCATCACCTGGATCAGTTTCCTTCAGTCACAACACCAACGGATTATTATGCGGTAATGTACACTTTTACTGTTTGTAATTTTAATAAGTAATAGTTATTTTAATAAGTATAAATTTAAAATAAATTATATTTTAAAATGAAATTTTAATTTTAGTAAGTAATTTTTTATAACACAATGTTAACATCTGCTGGACTTGGGTATCTTCAATTATTAAAAAAAATCTTCGTGACTGTACAATTTTATTGTAACTTTTATCTATTTTATCACGACTAGTTCAATTTTACGGTAAGTTCCATTATTTTACTGTCGCCATAAGACAATTTGAACTGATAACATGAATATCGCAATTTTAGGCACTATAATCATTCTCATAAGCAGATCGGGTTGCTCCTTCGTCAAAAATGACAACGCTTTGCAAGTAAAAGCCGAACGTGGAATATTCCTTAGAAAATTGCAAAGTTCTATTCGTAGTAGTCCAGAAGAAGGTGTACAGTCCCTAACATGGAGTGAAATTTTAGCCGACGTGTTGGTGAAGAGAATTTTATTTCAAAAACCTTATGTAGTGAATGAAACTCAACAAGTAAATACATATGCAACGGAAAACATTACTTTTATCACCAAATTTTGTGGTAATATCTTAGATGTATATAAAAATACATTTACGATAAGATTTTTAGTAGCATATTTGAAGACGTGACGATTACAACTACAAGTGAAAGTAGTACAACATATTATATTGACATTCAACTAAATGAAGCCGAAAGACCTAAGGATCCAAAGGAAGATTTTGAAATCATAACTATTAATCCAGATGTTGAAATTATTGAGCCAGAATATCATGGAAAACTTTGTAAGGGCTGCAAGGAAGGCAATAATGAACAAAATGATTACAAAATCGTCAAAGAAGACTGTCCAATAGGTCTAAAGAGAGACGCCAAGGGAAACTGCGAGGATCCAAAATCTTCAAATTTTATTTTATCTGTACCGTATCAGTGTCCAATTGGTTACAGAGCGGATTGGTTTGGATATTGTCGTATGAGTTTCTAAAAATTCTGTAAGTCGTAAGCCCCCATCCTTACTTAACCTAATTTAAACAATATAAATTATATCGTAGAAACCTATAAGAAATAAATTTAAAATATAAAACAAAACATAAAAGACTGTAATATTTAAGTTAAATATAAGTTTTAGAATTAGTTTATTGTAAGATATTGTACTTAATTTGAAAGTAAATTGTGTAGCCCTTGTTTATATTTTCGCATTAAATAAAATTTGTCAAATTGTTCTTTCTTTTTGGTCCGTCACATCAATATAACTAAAAGCTGATTTATATAACCACTCTAGTTATTACCCATACAGAAACAACACAGCTCCCAAAGGTATAAGTTTAGGTTATGATGTTACAAGGTATAGGTTTAGGTTTAGGTAATGGATAATTTTATTTTTTAATTATGACTATACAATGTTTATAAATGAACAAAATATTTTTATTCATACCAGAAAAAAAATCAATAATATTTTCTATTATCGTGCACGACACACGCGTTTTGCAAAAGACATATGCGATTTGAACAAGGCCTAAATATACTTGGCCGACGTGTACGGTGTTTGTTTTTAAGTTTAAACTTTGTACGTTATTTTAAGGCCTTTGAAAGAATAATACAGCGGCATTTTCTTGTAACAACACAAAATTACAAAAAAATATCGCCTTTATAAGACAATCAATGTGGAAGACCTATGTTATGCAGTGAACTTTTCTCGAATTTACTTAGATTTTTTTTATAATTTACGCGGTAGAGCCATGTTGCAGCTATATGAGTAGTATAATTGTAGTACGAATGGATCGGATAGACAAGGGAAGGACCACGCTCTCACAGAATACCAACGTATAACAGCACCTTAACACTGCTGTTTCCTATGGTGAGTGTAGACAACCGGAGACCCCGCATCCCGCATGGGTGACAACGCATCTGCATTATGATTCTTTATTGAAGATAGATGTGGATGTCTATATGTCACAGCAACCACTTACCATCAGGTGGACTGTGTGCTCGTTTTTCACCCTATACTATAAGAAAATTTATTAATTCATCTACTAAGGAATCGCCCAAGCGAACGGAAGAACTTTGAAGAATTTTCAGGTAAAATTTGTACTGCAGGGCATAAAACGCTATTCATTGTGAAATTTATTGACAACCTAACTCCAATAAGGATAGACTACTACTATTTGACTACTATTGAATTAAAAGTTAAAATCCCAGTCGACACTTAAATATAAAAAATACGAAACTAAGTTTACTTCTGGATCTAGCTAAGTTTACTTCTGGATCTAGTTGTTTTTGGTGTCCCATATTTTAAAGAATACTTCGAAGCCCCTCACTTCAATAAGATCGTTAATAGACCAAAAATGAAGGACAAGATTAAAGAGTTTCAGTACACTTATTGGCTGCTAAGGATATTAAAAAAAAAATGGTGTGTTCTACCTAGTTTAAAGAAAATTATGCCTGTTCTATGCTATCTATACATTACAGTCTCTCATAAATCCATTGCAAAATATAGCTTTCCTCTGTAAATAGCCTCATAGGGGGATAGTTGCCATAGGTGCCAAGCTTGGTAACCACAGATTTCCTGTTTCATTTCCCACTTTCGCCGCTACTTACACCCACGGAATGATAAGGGTATAGTAAATTATTTTACGTTGCCTCGCGCACGGTGCACGGCGGACTTTTATGTTTTGATGTATTTGATTTTGACATCTGATCGACTTTGAATACGACGTTTGTTGCGAAATCGCCCATTGGAAATCGAAATATTATGCAATCAAATTAATTAGCGCCAAATATTTAAATCTCTCATCAATCAATGAATAATATGCGTGATAGATTTCATAATGATAATATTAACTAGCAGTAGAAACAATGTAACAATGTAACGCATTTTGATTCGCAGACGAGGACAAATGTAGATATCTATGGGCCGCAGCAACCACTTACCATCAGGTGGACTGTGTGCTCGTTTGTCACCCACCCTATCCTATAAAAAAGACCCAAAATGTATATACGAGATTAGATAGACTAATGATTATTTATATTTCCGCGAACACTACACATTTAAATAAAACTAATTTTACGGATTTTATCGCGTATATTAACTTATTTTATATTCCCGACGTTTCAAGCACTGTACAGCACAGCACCCATGGTCACGGGGGGGGGGGGGAGTGAGGTGTATGACGTCCCAATGTCATGGTTAATCACGTCTACCTCTAAATTTTTGTTCCGATCTACGCAGTATGAACTTACAGAATCTTGAAGTCTTGCAATTGTATGCTTGGGTTGGGATGCTGTAAAGTCCTCGAAACGTCGGGAATATCAAATAAGTTAATATACTCGATAAAATGCGTATAATTAGTTGTATTTAAATTAGATAGACTAATTAAGAACCTTCTTCTTTTTTAAAGCTAGTTAATTAAACTCAGAATTGATAAAAATGTGAATACTCTCATAAAAGTTGAACGCGAATGTATTGAGTTTAGTTTAAAATTTCTTATTTCTTAATTTTATAAAATATCATCATTACAGACCATCACAAGTCCACTGCTGAACCTCACGGAATGCCAAAAAGCACGGTCTTGAGCCATCTGTATCCATCGACTTCCTGCATGTCATACCAGGTCGTCACTCCATCTAGTGGGGGTTGCCCTACACTTCGTCTACCGGTACGAGGCTGCCATTCGAGAAACTTTTTAACGGTTCTTCGAGCTGTATGGCCGGCTCATTGCCACTTCAGCCGTTGGGCTATATCGGTCACTCTGGTCCTACTGCGGATATTCTCATTTCTAAGTTTATCACGCAAGTAAACCTCGATTATAGCCCCCTCTATAGCTCGCTGAGCGACGTTGAGGGCCCTCATACGGCCAGCAGTGAAGGTTCACATGTCTCAGATCCATAATTCATCACTGGCAACACATTGTACAATCTTTTTTTCAGATTTTGAGGTATATCTGACGAATAGATTTGTCGTAATTTAGCGAACGCTGCCCAGCCGCGTTGAATCCGTCGACCATCGATTGACTTCTCGGTCGAAGTTGGACTTACCTAGTTAGACTATTTGTCCCTGGTAAACATACCCGTCAACAACTTCGAGCTTCGTGCTCCTAACAACTACCGGTATAGGTGTTGCAGAGGCATTACACATGACCTTTGTTTTGTCCATGTTGTTTATAAAATATACATTATATATATTAGAAAAATTAACACGTAGAAAAAAAGCTCCTCTCTTAAACTCAGATAAGCACCCTGAGCTACAGTTACATACATTATTCAGTACTAAATGTCTTTCAGTATGTACCTATTACATCTAGCGGAAGCCCCAAAATCTTCCTGACATATACCTTAGTCACAGAATAAATAATAGTACTACGTCCTTAGCCGACTCTTACAACATCTACGGCATGAAATGGAGTGATGCAGTCACAACACAATCACACACATTACATGTCATACTAATATTGTTTCATAGACAGTTCTATTAATCATTTGTACTTTATAATTTTCACAGACTGATATCAGTTGTGGAGTAGGTTCAGTATATTGAAGCATTTCATACATATTACATATACAAAAACACTCACGCCTGTCACCCAGAGGGGTAGGCAGAGATTATGGACTTCCATTTGGCACGATCCTGACACACCTCTCTCGCTTCCTCCACATCCATATACCTACGCATACACGCTCGTCGGTTAAAGGTACTCTTGATTTGGCCCATTTTTAATATATCGCCAATTTGGTGGATAAACTTTCGCCTAGGGCGACCCTTCCCGACTATGCCGTTCACCTCTGCAACATAAATTTGCTTTGTCACTCTTTCCTCATTCATTCTTTCTACATGGCCAAACCACCGAAGCATTCCTTTCTTAATCCTGGTCACAACATCATCTTGCAAACCACACTCTTCTCTCATTAAACAATTTCTCACTCTGTCATTCAGCTACATCCCTAACATACTCCTCAATGACCGCATTTCTATATCTCATGCTTCTTCTGCCACACCCAACTTTCACTACCATACATTAAAGTATGTACTAACACAGCATTGTGAATTGCCATACGTGCCTTTTTGGACACATTCTGACTTTTCACAATAGAGTGTAGAGCCCCATTCACTCTATTTCCTGCATTAACCCGTCGTTCTATATCCTTATCATATCTACAATCCCTGCTAAACACACATCCCAAATATACAAACTCATCTACTTGCTCTACCAACTCCCCTCCTATTCTTATTTCACATATCGTTTTACTTTCTTCTCTTTCAAAAACCATAACTTTCGTCTTACTTGCGTTCACTTTCGAATGAATTTAAATTTCGAAGCATTTCGAAATTTAAATTCATAGAATTACGGTTTACGGCTGCATGGGCCAATGGCTGACATTCGTCTCGCGTCGCACAGGCGTAATTAATCAAAACTAACAAATTATTAACGAGGCCAAAGTGGCGTAAACCACATACGTGGATGGCGCACGTGTTAATTTGCGCAATTTTTCTTCTAAATGTGAATTTTGTTTAAAACAACTTTCGGGTATCCATGTCTAGGAAGTTTTTATTCCATGTTTTTAGTAATAAGCATTAACTTTACTAAAAAAAAATGAAATTCAGAACCGTCATAGATTGAGGGCTAAGCGTTCGTTGTAAAATTCAAAACACACACACCAGGGTTTGACCCTGCCAGCTCCAATGAAATTTCTAAGGGCTGATTTACCACTCGGCAGTGCAGGAAACCTGCTGTCTGAGAAATATTTTTTTTTGAAAACATGTGAAGTCCACCAACACAGGTTTTATTAGCGCGACGGACTAATCTCTACACAATCGTCTTAAAAATGAGAGAGAGAGAGAGAGAGAGAGAGAGAGAGAGAGAGAGAGAGAAGGGAAGCCTATGCCTAGCAATACGACGTATAAGGATGTAAATTCCCTTTTTTGTTTATAGAAAATATTTTCATTTCCGTTGCAGCCTATTAAATCCACTGCTAAACATAGGGCATATT